GGGAGGGGGGGTGCTGACGTGTCTTATGAAGCCAGTGAGGAAGGAGGGGAGGTAAGGAGGCGTGTTGTGTTCATTTGGGCGGCGAAAACGCCGCGGCTGCCCCCCTTGCAGAAGCGTGATGGGGGCAGGCAGAACACAGTCGGCTTGGCCGCATTGCGTCGAGGCCCCCACCCTTCAGGATCCTTCCACAACTCTGCAACGCCCCCTGCCCGCCCCTCCACGTGGCCCCCTTCTTCCCGTCTGCGCACCACCACTCCCGTCTTGAGACATGACCACAACCGCTGCAACAATCGCCGCCACAACCGCCGCCACAACCGCCGCCGCCGCCCCCCAGGCCGTAGCCACCACCATCAACCTACACATCGAGTCCCTGGTCGGCCTGCCCCGCACGCTCGGCCGCCGCCGCGCGACGACGCAGCTGGCGGTCGTGGCGGTCGAGAACATCAGCAAGCAGCGCGCCGCGACGGCGCGCGAGCTGGCCGTCGGGCCGGGCAGCAGGCAGGTGGCGGTGATGGAGACGGTCAAGCTGGAGCTGCCGCGGAAGGAGGGGCTGGTTCGGTTGGAGGTGAGGGGGGGGGGGGGGCGGGTTTCTGCCTTGTGAATTCGTTCAGTGGGATGGGGTTGCTGGGGTGCGTAATAACTGTGTGTGTTTTGTGTTTCTTTGCGCGTGCGTTGTGGGCTGGGGTTGTGATGATTGTTCGTTTGCGTGTGACGTCGTGTCTAGGGGCCCGGACCGGCACGGCCCCAGCCCCCGCCCCACCCGCTCACCCCTCATCTCATCCCACTGTGCCCCGCTGCTGCCCCTGCCCCTCTCCCCCCCACCCCCTCAGCTGCGTGACCTCAGCGCCGGCGGCCGCCGGCTGGGCACCGCGCTGCTGTGGGTGTCGGCCGCGCCGGACGGCTCGACGCTGTTCTGGGGGCACTCGCGGTCGGGCGAGGCGCTCGCGCGGCGGTGGGGGCCGAGCGACCGCCCGTGGCGGGTCTCCCTGCCCCTGGAAGGTGGGGGCCGGCCACACACTATGCATGCTTTGGTTTGGGGGCCACGCTGCGTTGCGCGCGGCCCTGCGCCCTGCTCACCGACAAGCTTCAGAAGTTGAGTAGCGGCTATGCTGACTCCGCGCCCGCGCACACTGCCTCGTCTTGGTGGATTCCGGGAGTTCTAGCGCGGCATTGCCACCAGCACTGCGCACTCCCTTTGCACTCCCCTTGTGGCTCGCCTGTCACCCCCTCCCCCTTGAGGAAAGCAATCCGAACAATCTCACCCTCGCTTGGTCTCGTTCGCGCGCACGCATGCACCATACACTCCCTCACGCGCATGTCCCTCACACATGCACACACACAAACCAGCCCCTCTTCTGGATACATGCACCCCGTATGTCCACCACCACCAAAAACACCCGACACCCTGCACCCCTCACCCAACCAGGGGAGGGTGTCGGCCGTCTGGCTGAAGTCAAGCTGGGGGTGGGCGTGGAGCCCTGGACCTACAAGCAGCCGCTGGTGCCGACGTCGTACCGCTCCACCGGGCCACACACTGTGGTGCTGCAGGTCGTGGAAGGTGAGGGGGCGCGGCCAATGGCGCGCAGAGGGGGGGGAGAGGCAAGGGGCACGCGGTGCACGGGCCGGGGGGCGCTTGTCGCCTGAGGGAGGGGGAGCCCGAGAGAGGGTTGGCAGGTGCGTCGGGCCGCGAGGGGTGCGAAGCTTTGGGACATTAGCCGGTGCGGCGGACCACAGCGGGCGCACGCCGCCGGCTGTGTTGAGCCCCGGCCCCTCCGACGGCTGCCGCCAGCCCGCGGAGCCCGCCGCCGCGGCGCCTGTGACGCCGCTCCTCCAAACGCCCTCCGCGCTCTCACGACCCGCGACGCCGCCCTCCGCTCCCCGCCCCCCCTTGCAGCTCGTTATTTGGGCGGCCAGCCGGGGCCGCCGCCGGGCGTGGGCAGCAACCCGTTTGTGCAGCTGCAGTATGACCAGTCAGCGTACGCCACGGCGGTCGCCTACGGCACGACGAGCCCCGTCTTCCTGGAGACGTTTGCCTTTGCGGAAAACGCCAGCATGCTCACGCGCCGCGTGCGCCTGGAGGCGTGGAGCGCGCCGCCGGCGGTGGCGGCGCGCGGCGGGGGCGCGG